GCGTTTAACAACACACATACACACACTAGCGCGCACACGCACACGCACACGCACACGCACACGCACACAAACTCAGCACACACCAAAAAAAACCCTGCTGTAAACAATCCGCGAAATCGCGCACGACACTGGTAAATTTGAGCAAGGTACCACACAATCCGCATGCGCCGAACGGTAGAATTGGGCACTTCCCGTAAGAGTCACGAGCACCGCGTCAAATTCAAGCGTCAAGCGAGAAATAGAAATACCGGTAAACGCTGTTGCTTGATTGACAATGTCAATCAAAAAAAGGGAGAAGCTTCATAACATCGTTCTTCACAGAAAATTCAAAAGTAAAAAAAACGAGGTTATTTGGACGGAATACCAATGGTTGGAAAGCGTTTTTCGTGTATGGTCATTGGACGAAAATACGACGTTTCGTGCTTGCAGTGTTGGATAAACATTTTATTGTCTAATCTTGAGTGAAGCCGACAATCACTATGGTGTTTACTGTAGATGAGTTCCATAAGTCTGAACATCTGGTATCATTACTATTTTATAGTGATTCATAAATACAAGCTCTTGATATAGTCGGGAGGCGGTCGGATAGCCTAGTGGTTAAAGCGTTCGCTCGTCACGCCGAAGACCCGGGTTCGATTCCCGACATGGGTACAATGTGTGAAGTCCATTTCTGGTGTCCCCCGCCGTGATATTGCTGGACTATTGCTAAAAGCGGCGTAAAACCATACTCACTCACTTGATATAGTCGGAATCGTACAATCGACTTTGCTTTATGCATAGAATTCTAATTTATATGGAAAGGGTTTTGTCCCTTTATTTACTTTAATTAAACGTACCTTATAATATATCATTGTAAACTCCTTGTAGCAGCCTCACGTGAACTGTCATTTAAGCCCATTGCTCGGCCTTTCCTTAATTATGACAATATCACAGTATACGAATGCATGTAGTTTGTAAACGTTCGACATAACATCTAGAGCTATCTTTGTGCCGGTTTTCTTGTGATTTTCTTAAGCTGAAATATCATGAATATGATACCGACAATCTTATTGTCGAAACTGGCCGCATCTCATTATAATAGATTTGTCTACCGGAAATATTGCACACCAAAGGGTGATCATATATCATGACTGTAATGTACGTCGAAGTCACCGGTATTCCTCTATGCTGCATGATTGGTCTGACATGGATACGTCATAAGGCAGTGAGAAATTGACATACATTTGATGTTACATGACTATACACTGACAGTATCTCTCATGTTTAGCAGATAACAAAATCGACAAAACCCCTTTCCATAACCATAATAAATCCCTGTCAAAAGTGCGCGGTAAAGTTCAGGGTTGGAATAGGTCTTCAGCAACCCATGCTTGCCGTAAAGGGCGGCTATGCTTGTCGTGAAAGGCGACTAACGGGATCGGGTGGTCAGGCTCGCTGACTTGGTTGATGCATGTCATCGATACCAATTAGATCGATGCTGATGATATTAATCACTGGATTGTCTGGTCAAGACTCGATTATCTATAGACCGCCGTCATACAGCTGGAGTATTGCTGATCGCGGCGTTAAACAACAAACAAACAAACCAAGCAGAGTCTACTGCACAACTCCGACTTCATCATGAGCATGTGTCCATGCATCACTAAGGACCACCTCCCTGGTCTAGTGGTAGAGCGTCCGCCCGGAGAGCGGAAGGTCCGGGGTTCGATCCCCGGCCGCGTCATACAAAACGTTAAAAGATTGTACTTGTTGTTACCCTGCCTGGCGCTCGGCAGAAGGGACTAAAACAAGGACTGGTCGGCTCGGAGTCAGTATACTGTGTCTGAGTGGGGTATTCATGTTAAACTGCGGCATGGTATCTCAGTGAGCTAGCACTATAAATCGGCATCAGTCAAGACTAGTACAAGCAGCCACACACACATACACGTCCATGTACGTCGCTATATAAGTGCAATAATCTTGGACGCGACGTTAAACCGCATTTCACCTCACCTCACCATGCATCACTATCAAACAGTGACGCCACAAGGTGCTCACGAAAAGACGAGCGCACCCCACCCCACTGGTTTCACCCACCACAAACACATGCAAAGGCAGGCCAATTCTTTATCCGAAAAAAACATGGGAACACACGGTACACGTCAAAATAGGGAATGGCATTGGACATTATTTTGGTCACTGATGAGTCAGATCAGGACACATCCACTCGTCCACCACGAAACCTTTTTCAAAGCCACAACAAAAGCCCCAGAATGCGGTTAACTTGACCAAAGAACCCCGAGCAAGAGTCGCACTCGCCGAAATCCTAAGTCATAATAATTACAAACATTTTCCCCTGACCATAACGTGATAGGGCGTTTAACCATACAAATCCCTCGAAAAGCAGAATATGCATACTTTCTGTAATATGTAAACTGTAATATATAATTAAGATACGCATCAAACCAATACTCTTGATGTACATGCTGCACTGATTTAAAAAATGTAAGGTTAACAAGACACGGGCACCTATGCTTCCCTGCCCTGCTATCGTGCTAAGTTTAGATAGTGAAATACGTTGTTATCGCTCATGTATTCTTTCAATGCAATATTTAAAGTTGTAAACAAGATTGGGTTAATCAGAAACGTATTTTAAAATATATTTTATTCCATTTCCAAGTACATGTTAACACATATATATAGTGGGCAAGTACATTAACAATGAAGGTAGAAACCACAACAACAAAACTATTGATTGAAGGCCTGTAAACAATGTTTGAAGTTGACAGCGATATTAGTCTTACATACGGACAGTATATTGTATGAACGCTTCATGACTATGGACATAGAGTAGAAGTCAGTTGCTGCCTTTTCTTACGATAACAATGTATTCTGTTTGCAATATATTTTTCATTTTGACAAATATAACTCTGTCTTTAATGAATACATCAAAGGGCGGGGTTTGTTGATAAATAAATCCTTTGGCTGAGAGCGGAATATTGTCAACTTCATGATTATATCTACAAAAGCAAAACCTCACAGTATATCTGTGAATTCCAAGTTCAATATTTAGATAACTGTTGAAAATATTTCAACCTGTGACCAGACGTCCTTGACGTGTTCACATTCATAATAAAGATGTGATAGATTTTCTCTACAGCATTAACAGAATGTGTGGACAGCCAATTTTCCACTGGGGTGATGTAGTAACGTCCCATCTCGGGGTCGGTCGGGTAGCCTAGTGGTTAAAGCGTTCGCTCGTCACGCCGAAGACCCGGGTTCGATTCCCGACATGGGTACAATGAGTGAAGACCATTTCTGGTGTCCCCCGCTGTGATATTGCTGGAATATGTGACTTGAAAATTTCCAAATTGATCATTATTCCATCTCGGTACACATTGTTTTAAGCACTATGTTTTTTGTAAGTAATTTCGAATATGCATGAACGCAAAAAATGTCCCTTACCGTAGGAAGGATAAACGTACATACAGCATATGGGATTCACTACAACCCGCGTAGGGTGTCCAGACAATACGGAGAGGCTAGGTGTAGACGAATAACAGATACAAAATATACAAATTGATACAGGACTCACCAGCAAATCGGTTTATCTGGTAGAGAACACAATAGTTGCATATATTTAATTGTGATATTATGGTTTGAGTTAACAAGAAAGAAATCTGATCAACTTAGATAATCATCATTGCTAATAATTGATTAAAAAACATGTATTTTGTGTGTTTATGTGTGTGTTTTTTAGTGTGTTTTTTTGTTTTTTTTGGTTTTTGTTTTTGTTTTGTTGTTGTTTTTTGGGGTTTTTTTTTTTTGGGGGGGGGGTGTTTGTTGCGACGCACTCAGCAATATTCCACGGGGGTCTGTTAATAATCGAGTCTGGACCAGACAATCCAGTGATTGACATCATGAGCATCAATCCACGCAATCTGGATCGATGACATGCATCAACCAAGTCAGCGAGCCTGACAAAACACTGGCGCATAAAGTTGTTTTGATAACACTGTAGGCGAACTGCACTCTTGGCGAAAGTAGACCACGAGCTATGTACGGTTCCACTGTCAACAGTAGGGAAGTGTTTGGAACTTGAGGACAGATAATTACAATTACAATACAATACAATAACAAATACAATGTTGAGTGAACGTAGCTAAAAGAATCAAATGATGACAGTCCATTCTAATCGCCATAAGCAACCCCTCATATTTATTTAGATTTACTTTCATTTACTGTTGTAACCAAATACACAGCCGATTGTCCCATAAAGCTAACTGTGCATAGCGGAGCCTCCGAGGGATATGTGATGTCAATACGCTTGTTAACATGGTTTAGTTTGACTCTACACATCCTAACAAACTAATCAGCAAATCTCGCTGCACTGTGCGGGACAGATACTGGAGAAAGGCATGCCACCGCAGCCAGAAATACGAAACGTAGCCTACTTCATGGCTCCTAAAGGAAGCCTTGGGTATCACGTTCGTCAGGGGACCGGCGCAGTGTGATTGGCCGTTGACATTTGCACAAAGCGGAGTAAAAAGCATCGTTTTTCCGTCTATTTTACGCTTTAAAAACTCGACGCTTTCGTAACCCTTTTCGACGCTCACCAATTAATCAATTTTAATGAATTTATAGTCGTTTTTACCGTCCATTGCCTATGTAGGCAACGAGAAAAACGACGTTTTCGTGTTTGCAGCGTTGCGGAGTGGCCCGTTTCAACCCGTGAGCCTCGCATTTAAATGAAAGTTCTGTTTGTGAGGAACCACATGCCAACAAACTGTCACCTACTTTTGGACAGTGGCTACTCCTGCAAACGCTGACTAGTGATACCATGTTTGCGACATCAACTTGGCCCCCAGTCACACTACAATAAGTATGATGTTTTCTCCCTTGTGAACACTGAGGAATAGATGAATTAGCCCCAAACAATCATTCTGACATAATAGCTTTGATCAAAACATTATATTACCAACCAGGTTACCACAGTACGGAGCTTTGACAGATACTCACATGTTTGGTCTAGCCTACAATTGACACGGTCCGCAACATCTTCTGTAATTTTTGATGGTAAGAGTTATCTCCCTTTTACTTGGGTTGTTACTAAAATCATGCAGGACATTCCTCGAAATAAGATCCAAATCAATTTGATATAAAGCCAGTATTAAAACAAAGTTGATATTACTTTACTCTGTATTATTAAAACAGCTAATTTGATCAATATATGACTTTACGTCTATCCTATAATATAAGAATTTTGAAAATATTATTAAATTGAGGACATAATCACTATATGCAAATAGCAATGTGATCCAAACCAATTGTATTTCTTGCTTTGCATAATAATTTTATAGACAAATTTATTGGTTTCTGTGTAAGGTATCTTTTGTATGTAAGGTATATGTGAAACAAAGACAAACATGAGAATGATCATGATGATATCGATGATATTTTGGAACATAACACAATTACAATTGGTAAAAAATAAATTACATTCTATGTGAACAAGATGCTTTGGGTAGAATAAACAAAAACATAAACATAAACTTTCTATTGTATTTTCTTTGTCACATATGTAAAGTATCGGGGAATATTACTTATGACAAAAGACAACATACATATGTGCTAATTTAAACTTATCTTTGAAAATTATAAATGTATCCACATTTCATGTTAAATTTTAGTAACAGAAATATATTTTCAAACAGAAAATCAAAATTTGATGAGGTGAGGGTATGCCCAAAAAGGATTGTAAAATAATTATTGTTTGCAACAAGCAGAGGAATCTCCAGATACCCCTTGATGAAAACACTGATGGTGAGGGTGATGATGACGAAGACATCATTACAAAAAACGCCCATATGATAATATATTTAAACTTGAAACCATCCAAAAATGATATATGTTTTTATCATAATACTCTTTAAATCACACAAAAATCACAGACACAAAAGACTATTCTCATCTTGAAATGTTCTATAGCCCAAAGAAATAAAGCCAGAAACAGGCTCTTAAATTTCTTTTTAAGATGAGAAAATATGTGAACCACTGAGACACATTTTTTATAAAATAACCCCCAAATTACTTTCTAACCTCTAATCAAATACAGACTGTTTGTAAAATAACTGAAATTGCATAACATTGGTAAGCAATGTGGTGACTGATTTGGTAAATATTAGTGAAATAAAATTCAAATTCCTGCAAAGGCAGCTGATTCCTTGAATCAGCACAAAATGTGCAATATCTTTCCTCATCTTCTCTGATTATAGCCTCAACATTTCTTTTTGAAGTTCAAGGACATCAATCTTCAACAACGTATTTTCTTAAAAGCTATGTGTAATCTAGGTCTTCTTTTCTTGAGAAAGGGTAGAGCTTGAGACCATGAGTATCCTGAGGCTGAAGGTGGGTTTAGGTGGGGTTTGCACACCAAGGGGCAAGGCACCACAAGCTTCTGAGTCAAAGCTGAGGATAGCTGCTTCCTGACAACTGAAGAAAAGAAATGTTTACTTTAATGTTTGTACAACAAAAAATAACATATATATCATAAAAGTATTGTATCACAAAACGAAAATGTGTTTACCTGTTTGACATATCCATGACCTGGAACAGGGTTGAATCAAAGCTCCACTTGATTCCACAATACTGACATCTGATTGTCCAAGAACATCATAGACTGCCTAAGACACAGCACACTCAGCCTGGTTAGGGATGTTGATGTACTTTTTGATACAATAAATAATAATAAGACCACAATAATCTTATTAAAATCAGATCTTAGTTCTCGCTACCGTTAAACAAAGCTTTGTTTAGCGGTAGTGAGAACTAAGATCTAATTTTAATGAGATTGAGACTGCATTGGCCTATTACCTAGAAAAATATGTGACATCATGTTTGAGGTTCATAAGAAAATTAATATTTTAATTTCTACATGTCTCTACTTTTTTGGCTTATGGTAAACTGAAATATATCAACACTTTCATTTCTAAACACTGTTACTGTGTCTATTTATATACATTTATGTATCTTCGATAAATTTGCCTATGCAGACTGTATGGTGTAAATGAGAACATCTTAATAGCTTTAACTGTCAAGTAAAAAATATTTATTATACGTTCTGTCAGGAAAAGTAGAAAATACAAATACAATTCTTTAATAATATTGGAGATTAAATCTCGTATAAATGTAATTACTTACCTGTGCCACTGAGCTGTCTTGTGATTTGTTTGTTTGTTTGTTGTTTAACGCCGCACTCAGCAATATTCCAGCTATGTGACGGGGGTCCGTAAATATTCGAGTCTGGACCAGACAATCCACTGAATGAAATCATGAGCATCGATCCACGCAATAGGGGAACGATGACTTGCATCAACCAAGTCAGTGAGCCAGACCACCCGATCCCGTCAGTTGCCTCTTACGACACGCAAGACGCCTTTTACGACAAGCATGGGTTGCTGACGACCTATTCTACACCGGATCTTCACGGGTCGAGCTGTCTAGATATCTCTTTTAGATATCTCCTGCATTGACTTCGATTGGATGTCGTACCACCGCTTTTCGCAATCCTCTGTTGACCGAACCACGTTCGGAAAGGCAGCATTGATATTCGCTGCCACCTTCCCCCAATGCCTCCTACATTCGCGACGTAATGTTCTCCTGGCCCAAACTTGTCCTTGATAATTGCCTTCCGCTCGTAGGCAAGTTGGACCAGGAGCAAGGTCTGGTCAGATGACCAACTTGGGTTGCGTTTCTTGGTAACACTTTGTGCAGAAACCATCGCGCGAAGTGTTGACAGCTGTCAGACTCACGTGTGCTTGTTTGCATCACGTGACAGTCACGTGATACAAAATCATGCCTCTAAACCTGAAGAGTGCGTGGAATTCTAATTATAGCACAGGGATTCCCCTGATTATGACCAATGCTCGAAATAGAGTTACTCTCAGATTTTCTCTGAGTTATTCCCTGAGCCTTTATAACTACACTCCTTAGCGTAACCTTTAACTAAGAATGTTCTAAGCGAGGTCAGAAAATACTAAAGAAAATTCTGAGAATGTTTTTAATAACGGCCCCTGATTACAATGATTTGAGTTTCAAATGTGAATTTGTATTTCATTAGTAAAATACTATTTTGATAAAAGATATTTCATAGAAAATTTATGATATTTATATTTTTCAAAAAGGGATGCTTTTGGTGTATTCTATCATCATATTTCGTTCGTTAAAACAACAAACAACACTATCTCATATTCATCTCAAATTAGTATATTTTCAGGAAATATCTCGACACAGAACATCAGGTTGCTCTTTTCAATAATAAGTTGCACTGGTGCATGTTTTTTATAACTAAATCGAGCCCTGTCCTGACAACAACGTCTCCATCCAGAGTTTTGCAGCAGAAGACGCTGGTGGTTCTTGTTGATTTGACTGTTCAAGGTCAGACTTTGGACTGGGTAACTGAAGTAGGCCAGAATCAGAAAGCGATGGTGGTAATTCCTGGATCTCATCGTAAACTAAGACTCTGAAGCTACTTTCAAAATGATTCATGTGAGGAAAGCGAAAGGAAAGTGAGGAAGTTCCGTGGAAGATCTAGATCATCGTCAAGAAAATACTACTGTTTGACTAATCAAACATATTTGACATATCAGGCCCTGACAACATCCAGCGTCTGAAAGCAATAGGGTTTTCTGGTTATCCAATCGCACCCCCTGAACCCTTGACTGGCTTGTTCTCCTGCTAATGAGCCTGATCCAATGATAAAACAGAAAATCTGTTTTTCGTTTTAGAGCTCTTCCTTAGTTTTAGAGCACCCCTACGCCCTTGGGTGGACTTAACCAAGTGATGTTACTTGGGGGCGAGTTCAAGATTCTTTTACATTATGTCTCAGCATCTCATGAAATAGGGGGCACGGGTGGCCCAGTCGTCTAAGGCGCCGTGATTCGCTGTGCAGAGTTGCGTCCCTTGGGCACGCCAGAAACCTATGATTGTGGGCTCGAATCCCGGTTCGCCCCGATTATGTTTCTAGGTTTGTCAGCACCATACCTGTGCTTGTGGGTTTCACCGAAGTGGTAAACGTCTGAGACCTGCATCACTTTGGGCTTTCCTCCCACATTAAGCTGACAAGCGAGATAACTGGAATACTGTTAAAAGCGGCGTTCAACCCAACTGACTGACTCACTCACTCACTCTAATAATGATGTGATACGAAGAGATTTCATTTATAAATGTTGAAACTGAAGACAATTTTCTGTTAATAAAATCAAAGGGAAATGAAAGTGCGTGTTTCAAAATTGTGCAATATCTGATCAAGTATATGATTATATTAGATTTAGTAACATATATTCTTAAATTCGTCGTCACCTTGATGCATAATGTTCAAACGTGATTTTTATTAACCTTTTTTTCCTTTTCCTGTTGTTATTAACATGTGAGGATTATGCAATGCTTCATGACGAAATACTAGAGACGGTCATGTAAATTTACCGCTTACCAACTTCCCCCAAACCTGGGATCGCATCAACATTTGGGTGACTTACGTATAAGGTCAAGGTCACTAAAAGTCAAATTATGAAAATTATGAAACATGGTAAAAGTTTCAGGACATTTCAAGTGGTAGAGATTATTGTTCTTCCGCCATGTTCTGTTATGCAGATGCCAGTCATCAATGTATAGGTCCCATATAAACATCAATACGCTTTACCCTTGACCAATGGCTTCCTTTATATCAACGTTGATGGGCGCCATGTAGATTGAATTAACCTCCGTCACTCACCGACAGGCTTAACATGGAAGGACCCGTGAAGATCCGGGATAGAATAGATCTTCAGCAACCCATGCTTGCCGTAAAAGGCGTCTTTGGTTGTCGTTAGAGGCGACTAACGGGATCGGGTTGTCAGGCTCGCTGACTTGGTTGATGCATGTCATCGTATCCCAATTCCATGGATCGATCCTCATGATGTTAATCACTGGATTGTCTGGTCCAGACCGCCGTTATATAGGTGAGGTGAAATTGGGTTTAACGTCGCGTCCAAGATTATTGCACTTATATAGCGACGTGCATGCACGCGCGCGCGCGTGTGTTTGTGTGTGTGTGTGTGTGTGTGTGTGTGTGTGTGTGTGTGTGTGTGTGTCTGCTTGTACTAGTCCGGACTGATGCCGATTTATATGAGATACCATGTTGCAGTTTAACATGAATACCCCATTCAGACACAATATACTGACTCCGAGCCGACCAGTCCTTGTTTTAGCCCCTTAATGCCGAGCGCCAGACAGGGCGACAACAAGTACATGTACCATCTTTTAACGTCTTTTGGTATGACGCGGCCGGGGATCGAACCCCGGACCTTCCGCTCTCCGGGCGGACGCTTTACCACTAGATCACGGAGGCGGTCCCGCCGTTATATAGCTGGAATATTGCCTAGTGCAGCGTCAAACAACAAACAAACAAAAGTTAACATGTAAGAAAAAAGTCCATTCACTCTGTAAAGAATCTGACCTTTTATTTTGATGATCAAATTTGTTTGTTTATCAGATATGTCTATCCCAAACAGGGGAAGTTGGCCTCGAGAATGCGCGTTTTGAGGGGTTGGGGCGGCCTGACATTAGTGTGGACGGCAACAGGTACGCCCTCGGCAGTAGGAAGCATCTGCAGCAACCTCACCTGGAAATACAGGACTGCTTAAAATGATAAAAGAATATACTCTCTATTAATTTCGACGGAAAAGCCACAAGTGTAAGATCACGTGGACCAATCAGATCTCATCATTCTGACATTGAGGTATGATAATAAGTGTTGACACAGATTCCATAGGGCGTAAAGGTGAAAAAGTAATGAACATTACATGAACGGATCACTGGAAATCAGACATGACACTAGTTGTTCGCGAACTTGGGTAAGCATGTCTACCCGAAGCACACGCCACAATTCCCCCCCCCCCCCCCCCCCCCGAAATCTGTGTTGCACGCTGCACCCAGCGATTACGACAGCGGCCGGTACACTACCGGGTCTGGAAGGAAAGGCCAAATTGAAGCAGGCGTAATCTTTATGTAACACGGGCAAGGGTAATATATGGTGCTGATAGACCCAGGGTCATACAGACAGATCATACAGGGTACAGAATCATGGACTCGCGCACTGTAAAGGAATATTAATAAATAGATCAGCCTAATTTTGTAAAAATTAATATGATTTTTGTAAGTGGTGGCTAAATGGTTTCCTGACCTCGTTGATTTGGTCATCATTCATAGACGGCGTGGGATGAAGGTGCTCACGATATCAACCTCTTGCTGCGTTTAACCTGCACTATTGCCGAACAAACAAATACACAAACAATACATGATATAAACAAATAATCATCACCTGTTGAAGATTGGGACCGTGAAGATCCGGAGTAGAATGGGTGTCGTAAGAGGCGACTAACGGGATCGATCACTGGATTGTTTAGTACAGACTCGATTATGTACAGATCGCCGTCATATATGTGGACGATTGCAATAGTCCTCGCCACTTGAAATACAATGACGACTGCCGACGCTACCCGTATTGTAACCACGTGATCAAAACTCATTCTTGCTATTTTCATTACTGTAAGTAAAATTCCTTATTGGTGGAATTGCTTTACACGTGCTGCTGTCTTCGTTGATTAATCATCGCGATATTTCGTGATTCTATTTCAAGTGTCGAGGACTGTAAGTGCGGCGTTAAACAACAAACGGGCACAAATGTTGAAGATTATATCAAATATTACAAAACTCACATTGTCTCGAGTTGTCATGAGAGGGGCCTTCATGACAATCCACCTAACAGACTCCGAACAGGGTGGAGTTGTGAGCGATCCCTGGTAGGTGAAGAAATCACCGCTGAGAGGGAGGAGTTTACGTGGGTCGATCCTGGTTGGAATCTTGTTACCTACTGTATAATAACAGATTACAGCCAAGACTCAGATCATGTCGTGATAATAACGACAACCAATAAAAAAAAAAAATTATTTCAAGTGCCAAATTAATTGGACTGGAAGCGCCCATAAAATAGGCAACCTTCTATTTTGATCTACGGTTGCATAAGTGAGTTAAGCAGATTATATTCTTGACATCGAACATTATTGGTAAAAATGTAAAGTCACAACTTTGCATACCCCTTCTATCATTTTGTTTGTGGTAATATGGAAACAGAGTAGAAACAGAAGGGGTTAGATTCTTAGTCTTTATACTTGGTTCATATAGATACATATATTTGTGACCGCCTCCGTGGTCTAGTGGTAGAGCGTCCGCCCGGAGAGCGGAAGGTCACGGGTTCAATCCCCGGCCGCGTCATACCAAAAGCCGTTAAAAGATGGTACTTGTTGTTACCCTGCCTCGAGTTCGGCATTAATAGGCCAAAACAAGGACTGGTCGGCTCGGAGTCAGTATATTGTGTCTGAGTGGGGTATTCATAAACTGTGGCTTGGTATCTCATTTGGCTAGCACTATAAAATCGGCGTTAGCAACACACACACACACACACACACACAAACACACACACGTGCAAGCAGGTCGCAACATACGTGCAATAATGTCAGCTAATACGTAGAGGGGAATGTCCGAGTAACTCTCCATTCCTTAAAAATAATGGAGCAGAGGCCCCTCGAGAGTTACGAGGATATTCTCCTACTTAAAACTCATTCCTACTTTTACACTTTGACAAAATATTCTGTAGTTGAAAACATTTGAAAAATTCAAATGCTGCTTCAAGATAATGTACAGTTGACAAGCAACTCTCCATTCCTGAAAAATAATGGAGCGTTCAAACAATAGAATGACGTCACGGATGTGTTTTAATATTCAAGCAAAGTCAAGCCATTCCGCCAATGAGGAATATTACTTACAGTAATGACTAAAATTGCAAAGTGCGCTTTTAAAAAAATATCATGTATGCTAGTAACAAACGAGGGTACCAACCCCTGAATCCCAAATACCTAGGTCTCATTGCTCATCGTGAAAACTGCTTAACACAAATCCACAAAACGTCAGAATTCACTCTGTACAAAGTCAGAATGTCAATCACAGACGAAAACATTTGGAACACGTTCCTAGGTCGAAAAAGGGTGCGATTTGAAGTTACTGAAAATAGTATAGAAAAAGTATAATATATAAAAGGAAATTTTCCCGCACACCAATAATGGTTTAATAAATGTTGAATCTGGGTACGAAATAATGATTTTTTGTTTTGTCTTTTGTTTTGTGTTTGTTTTTGTTTTTTTGGTTTTTTGGTTTGGTTTTGTGTGTGTGTGTGTTTTGGTGTTGTTGGTTGTTTGTTTTTTGGGTTTGTTTTTTTTTGGGGGGGGGGTATTTTTTGTAGTTTTTGTTTTGTTTGCTTAATTTGTTTGGGTTTTTTTGTGTTTTTTTTGTTTGTTTGTTTTTGTTTTTTGGGTTTTTTTTATATATTTTTTTATATTTTTTTTTTTTTTTTAGGGGGGTGGCTACAACACGGGTGTCAGGGGTCTATATTTAGGCTAAACTTAGCAGCATGTGCAGTGTACGTTCATTACCAGCACGAAATCCAAGAGAAAACCGTTGAGATGCAGTATTTAAAACTCACTGCTAAATATTACCGCTCTTAGTGACCTCAGTGCTGATTCTTACCCGTATTGTAACCACGTGATCAAAACTCAATTAAGTTTATCGCTTGTAATATAGACATTTCTTGAAAAGCGCACTTTGCAAATTTGTCATTACTTTTAGTAATATTCCTTATCGGCGGAATGGCTTGTTTTCAATTCATAAGTATTAGCACACATACTTAAATTGATCATCGCGATATTTCGTGATTCTATTTCAAGTGGCCAGGACCATTGCACCTGTATTAGTTCGGGCAGCCCTCCCACATCAAGCTGACAGGCAGTTATATAACTGGAATATTGTTCAGTGGAATAATTTTACTGCCTGCAAAATACTTACTTCCCCGTAGCCTGGAGACCGCGCTGATGAAATTATTCAGGTCAGTGTTGGGGGAGAGAGAACCTTCCTGATGGAAACAAAACAGAAATACATTTTTTTTGTATTTTCTTAAAGAACTACATTCGGATCGGACACGCAGGACAACATTTCCCTGTACTTGTATTAGCATGTAACCAAATACCTGTCATTCTAGTATACCACATCTTCCCGAACCAAGGGAATTGACTATAAAAGTCCAGTTTCCACCCTTGCCGAACTAGGCTGGAATTTCTTGGCTCGATCGTAGCGCCACCAGTGGCTGTTACGAGTTATGTCCCTTATATGTTCCTCCTATTGACCAATCAGATTCCTTTCATATCACTTGCATTTGCTCCAAACAAAATGGCGGCTCCCAGTTAAGACGATCTGATCGATAATCAAGATCTATATTGTGATAAAACGGGTCTTACTTCACGTGAGCACCTTGATTAAAAACATAAAAGAGGTTTGGAAAATATATGTTGACGCCGAGTTAACGGTACACATGCTTTGCAAATCCTGCATTCGACCGAAATCTACACGGTACTTTACGAACCGGATGTCGATTTCGTTACGCGATTTTGATTGTACTATGCATATACTCGTTAGTCCAGCCAAAAAAATAACTCCATAATACCAGCCCAGTTCGGCAAGGGTGGAAACCGGACTTTTATAGGCAGTTAACTCCCTGGCGTCGTGAAGATGGGTATACCATGACTGTATGTAACGGTGCCAGATGACTGCCGGGGACTGATGGAGTACTGAAGGGTGTATCACCCTAGCTACGTCCAGGGGTATCACATGCACCACTGAGCCACTCGCAACAAGTAAGATGAGAAAAACATATTTCAGGCCACATCCGTTCAATAACTGTCTGCAACACAAATGACAATTGTATTAATAATAACAGTTTATTTCGACATAATGACCATAACGTAAGTGACAACCTGCCAACAAAAATACACAATAAACTAGCTGACCCAGACCTCAGTATGAAATAGTTGGTTGGTTGGTTTGTTGTTAAAGGCCGCCCTCAGCAATATTCCAGCTATATGACGGCGGTCTGTAAATAATCGAGTCTGGACACAATCCAGTGATTGATATCATGAGCATCGATCATCGCAATTGTGATCGATGACATGCATCAACCATGTCAGCGAGCCTGACCACCCGATCCTGTTAGTCGCCTTTTACGACAAGCATAGTTGCCTCTTACGACAAGCATGGGTTGCTGAAGACCTATCCTACCCCGGATCTTCACGGGTCTAGCAACACGTACACTAGTGTGTCAAATAACAGATAACTATGACAAGTTGTAATGTTAACGCCAGGTCTAAAAAAGAAGAGCCAAGGAACTTAATTTTCCCTGTCCAGCGCCAGTGAGCCGCCCGGGTCAGCAGTGGTGTGTCTCCGTGGGAACTGACCCATGGAAGGACAGCGCCATTATTTACTACCTTGGCACGGAGCAATGTCAAGACCTTGGTACCAAATACTAGTCTTGTAGACAGCTTCTTGGGTCCAAACTGTATTTGTGTAAATTTTATTGATCAAATATAAACAAATACCAGTTAAATAAACTTTAGTAATTTTAACACTCTTTTAAAGTGCAGAAACATAATTTTTAACATCTGCATATTAAATCATAGCATGACTATTGACGAACTGGTGAACAAATACTCTGTATGAATTATTATATCAGAAGCGATTATATCAATTATATCAAGTATCAAAGTTGATAACTGTGAGGGTTTACCACATGTATTACCCTCAGCTGCACCGACACAATTGGAGGTGAGGTGAGGTGAGGTGAGGTGAGGTGAGGTGAAATGGGGTTTAACGTCGCGTCCAAGATTATTGCACTTATATAGCGACGTGCATGTACGTGTGTGTGTTTGTGTGGCTGCTTGTACTAGTGCGGACTGATGCCGATTTATAGTGATAGCTCACTGAGATACCATGCCGCAGTTTAACATGAATATCCCACTCAGACACAGTATAATGACTCCGAGTCGACCAGTCCTTGTTTTAGCCCATTAATGCCGAGCGCCAGACAGGGTAACAACAAGTACCATCTTTTAACGTCTTTTAGTATGACGCGGCCGGGGATCGAACCCCGGACCTTCCGCTCTCCGGGCGGACGCTCTACCACTAGACCACGGAGGCGGTCCCGACACAATTGGAAGTCAGCGATTGGTTAAACCCTGCTCTGAACATTGTTTCAGTTGTATGACAGTGTGTTCTAGATTGACGAGGCAAGTGTAAGACGTTTATCACTTTGCTGAAACGCAACAGAACCGAACTGAACGTACGTTTATTCGTAAATAGACTTATCGTCTTATAACATAAGTTATATAGGCTGAAACCCAAGAGCAAATCAGGGCGAACTGGAATCAGAACCACGGTCATGCTCTTAGTCATTCGTGACCAACTCGTGTTATTCCGGGACAAGCCGAATAGCAGGTTACGGAAAGGGGCGAGTGGTGACGAATGGCAATTGTGGACGTCGAAGGGAGGCAACTCTGCACAGGAACACCTTAATGCGTCGAAATCATTAAAATATTAATTGAAAAGTCAGTATCCATCAACAAACGAGATAATTAATAAACAAAATACATATAAACAGCTGATTTGAGGTTACTACTGTGTAAAGTTATACTGACCAGTAGGAAGACAGCTATCACGGCCAGTCCGTCAGGCATCCCACTCGCACCGTCCATGCTCCCATACTTTGCGTTGTAGTGAACCAAGTGAAGCTGGTGTAAAATATACACAACCACAGTTAGCTTTTGTTTTAAAGTGAGGAATATCTTGTAGAATATTATAACCCCCGGGGTAAACAATCCTGGAGAGTTAAAATGCACATCAACAATATGTCTTCAGCAAACCATGCTTGCCGTAAAAGGTGACTATGCTTGCCGTAAGAGGCGACTAACGGGATCTGGTGGTCAGACTCGCTGACTTGGTCGATGCATGTTATCGTATCCGAATTGTGTGGATCGATGCTCATGATGTCAGTCACTGGATTGTTTGGTCCAGCTACGATTATTCACAGACCGCCGTCATATAGCTGAAATTTTGCTGAATGCGTTGTTAAACAACAAACAAACAAACAAACACAAACAATACAAAGAAAACTGGTTACTACTAAAGCTTTATTGTGAAGCAATCACGATCACACCTATGGCCAGCTAAAGGGAAACATTTATGAAGGAACAAATGTGTCAACCTGAAACATGGAGGTGATCTATGTATCAATTAAAAACAGCTTCCTGAAAACTAGATTAACGTCTTGACAATGGAGCTGATGTTTGTATTCAACTAGATTCAAAATAAACATATAAATAAAGTTATAAGGAATGTTAAACAATTGGAATGCAGAGGCCGTCTCGGCCGAACGCAGAGGCATTTTCATCCAATCAGGACATTTTATATCATTTACCTCCTTTGCGACAGCTTCATCATGTCATCTTTTGCCTTGACTCTTAAACCTGAAGACATATTTATTCCTCTTTTTATTACCCATATAGGAACGGAGATGCTGGGCAGTATTTATTTCTGTAACCTCCCTAGGGAGGTTACAGAAGTCGCTTGATGCCGATTGGCTGTTTTAGAATGCCTGTGATTTCATTGGTTAATGACGCATTGCCGGAACTACATGTTCCCATTCATCATATCCATTCATCTTTTTCCACAAACACATCTCTGCCATACGAGACTTGTCATTTACAACATAAAGCGTTCTAAAAACTGTATATTTTATTCATTTAAATAAAATATCGTTCACTCATGTTGTTTACGATAATTGAATACACGAAACATAAAAGCTAACTGAGATTTGTAGATTAAATTTGATTGATAAAAAACGTCTGCTATACTTGCAGGTCAGTCACTGGATTGTCTGGTCCAGCCTCTATTATTTACAGACCGCCGTCATATAGCTGAAATTTTGCTGAATGCGTTGTTAAACAACAAACAAACAAACAAACAAACAAACAAACAAACAAACACAAACAATACAAAGAAAACTGGTTACTACTGAAGCTTTTTTGTGAAGCAATCACGATCACACCTATGGCCAGCTAAAGGGAAACATTTGTGAAGGAACAAATGTGTCAACCTGAAACATGGAGGTGATCTATGTATCAATTAAAAACAGCTTCCTGAAAACTAGATTAACGTCTTGACAATGGAGGTGATGTTTGTATTCAACTAAATTCAAAATAAACATATAAATAAAGTTATAAGGAATGTTAAACAATTGGAATGCAGAGGCCGTCTCGGCCGAACGCAAAAGGCATTTTTATCTAGGGAGGTTACAGAAGTCGCTTGATGCCGATTGGCTGTTTTAGAATGCCTGTGATTTCATTGGTTAATGACGCATTGCCGGAACTACATGTTCCCATTCATCATGTCCATTCATCTTTTTCCACAAACACATCTCTGCCATACGAGACTTGTCATTTACAACATAAAGCGTTCTAAAAACTGTATATTTTATTCATTTAAATAAAATATCGTTCACTCATGTTGTTTACGATAATTGAATACACGAAACATAAAAGCTAACTGAGATTTGTAGATTAAATTTGATTGATAAAAAACGTCTGCTATACTTGCAGGTAAACAACAATGGCGATATTGTTGTCCCCGATAAAAGTGAACGATCTTGTGAAGATTGACGGGAAATTGGTTGGAAGAGTAGTGAACATAATACAGCCATTGAACAGTTTCAACGTCTTTGTGGTGAACACTGACATGGGGGAGTCCCTCGTTATAGGCTACGCATGATTCCTGGAACCATGACGTCAATGTCTGACACGCGCCAACATTTTGGTCTAAATAAATCATTTTTGGATGATTTAATGGATACTGATTTCTTGGATGGTCCAAATAACATCCTGATGTTCCAAAACAAGCAGAAAGATTTATTGATGTACATGAAGGCGACATTGACAAACTTCTGGCAAAAATTTAAATGCAAACACTGTAGAAAAAAAACAAAACATGCTCAACATGCGAGTTGTCAAACAGTTTCTTTCAGAAAAGGTGAATGAGCAACGCCCAATTGACGTTATCCTTCCCCCTGAACTTAACATGGTCATGTGCAAGTTTGTCATTGGCGTAAGGAAACAGGATGGTTCCGAGTACGAGCCAAGCTCGCTCACTGGATTCAGGGGTAGTTTAGATCGTCACTTAAAACGCAAAGATTATGGCTTCTCACTTCTCGTGTGTCCGCCATGTGCATTGATGACTGCCGTGCAACATCGATACATGGAATGGATGTGGCGGTTGATGAAGGCCAAAGGCACTTGAGCCCAAGCTCTGAGGAACGCCTGAAGCAGTTCAGCTGCAGTTGTCGGCCTTGGTCGGGCGTCATTCAGCCGTCTTTGAATCTCGTCCCACGGGTGCTCAATGGGATTTAAATCGGGACTGAGGGCAGGCCACTGCATGGTTCTGATGACATTCTGCTGGAGGAAGTCTCTTGTTGCTCTCGCAGTGTGGGCACGAGCGTTATCATGCTGAAACTCGTGGTTGCGGCGACGTGCAAAATGAGGTATGGCGTGTGGTCTCAAGACTTGATCAATGTAGCGAGCTGTGATGTGACACCATTGCCTCGCCCTGGACCGATGTTCTGGAAGACCACAGGGCCGACACTCTTTGCAAGACCAATTCCATCCCACTCCATGATGCTCGGACCACCCCACTAGTCTCTCTCAACAACACAGGCACCCGAATAATGCTGGGGACGGTCCCGGCGATGACGTGGTGTCAGAATGGGTCCTCGGTGTGGCCTGTGACAGTGGAGGTGTCTGCTCGTCAATCGTCGATGCACGGTGTCCGCACTAATGTGTCACTGGTGTGTCCCCATGGTCTGTCGAGCAGTTTCCGCAGCAGTACCAAAGCGATCTTGACTCACAATCTGACGATGATGACGTCGGGTGGTGTCCCTTGGTCTTCCACTACATGGTCGGTCATCTGTAGTGTTGGTGGTCTGGTACCGTTGCTGGAGCCTGTATATGGTCCTTACGTGGACTTGCAGCTTGCAATCGTCCAAGGGTTTGGTGTCAGCGATTTCTTGTCAATTTTGGCATGTGGTAGCAATTCAATAACGAATGAATGTTATCCGATCTGGGTGGATTTTCATAGGGCAAGAAATGGGGGAACGCATGTGCATTTCAATTTGCAAGGAACTCACGTGCTTCGGGTTACCATGGCCGTTGTCGTGATGCGTTTGGGTGATTGGTTTTATTGTTATCTGCTTTGGGGTTTTTTATAATCAAATTTCATTTTTCCGGACAAGGTAGTGTTAAATTTTAGAAACTTTGACAAAAAATACCCAGATATTTAAATGACAACTTTTCATGCGATGTTACTTGGGGTAACGTATTTTTTCAGTATATATTCACAGAAAGTTTTTGAGACAAGTGGAATTAATACCACGTGGATTTGCTTGAAGTGTCGCAATCTCAGACAAGAACCAATTTCCACTCTAGCAAAACATTTGATTTTTGAAATTTGTACATAACTATCCCACATGACAAACCTAAGGAAAAACTTCATTCCTTGATCCATGGGTTATTTGTCACTAAACGTGGTGACCATAGATGTTGGTACATCTCTATATTTCTACAGAGGTTCGGGACAGCTTGTACAATATGAAACAAATGCTACCTGAAGTTACTGAAAAAAAATATATATGTGAAATGATGGGCTTCCCTTCAGTAAACATTTATGTAAAACTTGGGGGTAAGACATTCAGGCAAGAAGTAGGTATCCCCATGGGCACCAATTGTGCTCCTCCTTTTGCTAATCAGTGTCTTTCTGCATATGAATCGGAGTTTCAGCTCGGAATGGAAAAGTCAAGACAAGGTCATTTAAGCTTCAGATATACCGATGATCTGATATCGTTCAATAACCGTCAAATAGCCAATTCCCTCCTACTAATTTTCCAACCTTAACTAGAACCAAAAGCGACCAGAGAGACCGACTATATTTAGTTCTGTGCATAGAGATTCAGAGTTACATAAAAATCTCCGCAATATTGTACGACAAGAGTAGTGACTTTTCCTTTAGGTCGAGCAATATTCCAGCAGCTCTAACCTTGGCTGTCTGCATTTCACAACTTTTGAGGTACAATCGAGCATGCTTTTCAACGAGTATTATAAAGAGCGGTATACCACGTTTGTTCAAAAGTTGTTTGATCAAGGTTACATCATTCGAGGCCTCAGTAAAGCTTTCAAAAATTGTATTGCTGACATATGGAGGACATTTCAAAATCTAACGCTTCAGTCACAAAAATTATGTCCGATACAATTCCCTGTGGGATTTTTTTTCAAGTTAACATTTGACTTGCCTTTACATGTGTTTGTAACGGGTGCAACTGTTTGGGCAGAATACGCTTGGTTGGTTGGTTGGTTGGTTGGTTTGTTGTTTAACGCCGCACTCAGCAATATTCCAGCTATATGACGGCGGTCTGTAAATAATCGAGTCTGGACCAGACAATCCAGTGATTGATATCATGAGCATCGATCCACGCAATTGGGATCGATGACCGTGCATCAACCAAGTCAGCGAGCCTGATCACCCGATCCCGTTAGTCGCATTTTACGGCAAGCATGGGTTGCTGAAGACCTATTCTACCCCGGATATTCACGGGTCGGCAGAATACGCACATGCTCACGAAACAGTCGGAATCGTACAACCGCACAATTATACTGCCATGCTCATGAAACAGTCGGAATCGTACAATCGCACAATTATTTTTAATGAATATGGAAAAGGTTTTGTCGCTTTTATGTACCGTAGTAGCCGTAGTAGCCGTAGTAGCCGTAGCCCTACACAGCTGCCGATGTTGTAAGAGTACGCAAAGGTGAAATACAGGAGTACCGATCGGATGGCATAGTAATCCTGTTTATAACAAGTTGTCTTTCAGGCTGGGTTATCAGGAAGAAGGTGTCCTTCAAACTGTTGACGTTTATAGTTTTGTTTCTGAAATGTCATTGAGGATGACCTAAAAAGTAATAAACCGAAATCTCAATGTACTTTTATCCTGTGTTGTTTTGGACGAATTGTGAAAGGGATGGAAACGATAAGGCTAAAAACAGAAAAACGTGCCGTGGACGAGTATCCCTTGCTTAGACCATGTTGTGTTTGGGCGATGTGTTTTGGTTGGTTGGTTGGTTGGTTTGTTGTTTAACGCCGCACTCAGCAATATTCCAGCTATATGACGGCGGTCTGTAAATAATCGAGTCTGAACCAGACAATCCAGTGATTGATATCATGAGCATCGATCCACGCAATTTGGATCGATGACATGCATCAACCAAGTCAGCGAGCCTGACCACCCGATCCCGTGAGTTGCTTTTTACGACAAGCATAGTCACTTTTTATGGCAAGCATGGGTTGCTGAAGACCTATTCTAACCCGGAATCTTCACGGGTCGACGATGTGTTTTGCATTGAATTGAGTTTGAATTTTTAAATTTTGGCAATTTCATTTTTAAAGCGGTAAAGTTTTGTTTGGCCGCTAGTTTAATTTGTCACAAAAAGCCAACAGAGGGCGCTTTATATTTCTCCATCCGGTTAACATACAGCCTTGGCGACTGACAAGTGACATTCATCAACTTGTCTTTAGAAGATAAAAGTACACAATTCGACATAACATGTAAGTTTATCAGCCTTTCTATTTGTTTTAAAGTTTACACTTTTAGATAACACGTCATAAAATGGCAAACTTCATTTGCGTATTCGTCTTCTGATTACAAGACCGCCTCCGTGGCCTAGTGGCAGAGCGTCCGCCCGGGGAGCGGAAGGTAGTGGGTTCGATCCTCGGCCGCGTCACAGCAAAAGACGTGCAAAAGAGATTGTACTTGTTGTTACCCTGTCTGGCGCTCGGCGTGGTATTTCAGTGGGCCAGCACTATAAATCGGCATCAGTCCGGACTAGTACAAGCAGCCACACACACACAGGCACACGTGCATCCACGTAGCTATAAGTGCAATAATCTTGGACGCGACGTTAAACCCCATTTCACCTCACCTCACCTTCTGATAACACTGGATGTATGGTTCCACGTGCAGACACAGAACTTGTGGGAGAGCTAACAGTATTGTGACTTGATGGGTAAATAGTATATCTATAGTACCTTGTTGTTTTTGTTGTTGTTGTCGAATACCTTTATAATTCTGCCTAACCAATTGCTAATCACACTGAAGTGAGTGAGTGAGAATGGTTTTACGCCGCTTTTAGCAATATTCCAGCAATATCACGCCAGGGGACACCAGAAATGTGCTTCACACATTGTACCCATGTCGGAAATCGAACCCGTGTCTTCGGAGTGACGAGCGAACGCTTTAACCACTAGGCTACCCGACTTCCCCTTATCACACTGAAAGATACCCATTATAATAAAGGGAGAAACCCAATGTTACCTCGGCGTCATAACCTCTACCGTCAACGAGGTGTTCAGACCCTGTGTTGGGCAGGTTGCCGACGTGGTAGTGCAGCTTACTGAGGATGTAGGTGGAATCAGAGCTGTGTGGGACGCCGGTCAGAGTCAGGGGTTTTGAGATAGAAAATTCCATACTCGCTGTGTGGCCACCTGAAAGAAACCTATTGTTTACACTCAAGTGACGCTGCGGCGTGACAGCTTAATGTGGGTTGGTTGGTCGGTTTGTTGTTTAACGCCGCACTCAGCAATATTCCAGCTATATGACGGCGGTCTGCAAATAATCGTGTCTGGACCAGACAATCCAGTGATCGACATCATGAGCATCGATGCACGCAATTGGGATCGATGACCGTGCATCAACAAAGTCAGCGAGTCTGACCACCCGATCCCGTTAGTCGCCTTTTACGACAAGCATAATTGCCCTTTACGGCAAGCATTGGTTGCTGAAGACCTATTCTACCCCAGATCTTCACGGGTCTGCTTAATGTGGGAGAAGAACCCGAAGTGATGAAGGTCTCAGACGCTTTAATACCACTCTGGTGAAACATACGAGCACGAGTATGGTACTGACAAACCTAGAAACATAATCAGGGCGAACGGGGATTCGAACCTGCGATCATAGGTTTCTGGCGTGCCCAAGGGACGCAACTCTGTGCAGTGAATAGTTTTGTCACTTATTGCATGAACGTAAAGAATTATATATAGGTAAAAATATTTAGAAAACATGAAAAATTACTCACGAATAATTCACGAAATTCAGTTATGTAATTATCTAGCAACCAGATATAATTATATTTCATTACCAGAGTTATAGAGTTGCCCCTGCAATGACCCGGAAGGAAAGAGACTGTACTTGACCCGGAAGGACTTAAAGCAAGACGTTTGCGCCGACCGGATGTTGACGGGGGACTGCCAAGAGCCCCCACAGCACATGGACAGCTGGGACCACCTGTAGGGACCTGTGAAGAAACCGCTGAAGACGCATCTGGTTTTTCGTTTGCATTTGAAATGGTTGAGTTGGTGACTGTTGCTTAATACCGAAATCAACAATATTCCAGATGCATTGCTTGTGTCACAGAGTGACATGATGGCACTCAGTTCGGATGATATACTATGAGCTATAACTTCGGTACTAATTAATTTCTGTTAAGTACACGTCGTTAAGGGAATCTAGACTATTTCACATGTGTGTTACGGATTGCAATTGCGCCATTGTCCAACACAGTAAGCCTTTCCTTGATATTACTACACCGCCTCCGTGGTCTAGAGGTAGAGCGACCGCCCGGAGAGCGGAAGGTCCGGGGTTCGATCCCCGGCCGCGTCATACCAAAAGACGTTAAAAGATTATACTTGTTGTTACCCTATCTGGCGCTCGGCATTAAGGGGCTAAAACAAGGACTGGTCGGCTCGGAGTCATGATACTGTGAATGGGGTATTCATGTTAAACTGCAACATGGTATCTCAGTCGGCGTCAGTCCGGACTAGTACACGCAGCCACACACAGGTGCATGCACGTCGCTGTGTAAGTGCAATAATCTTATAAGTGAAAACCCAATTTTACCTCATCTGATATTACTACATTTATAGCCTTCATCAGCAATCCCCAGGTTATCCTTGTCGTGTCGGTAACGACATCCGATGGTCCCATGACCAGGTTGTTTGTTTGCTGTTTAACGCCGCCCTCAGCAATATTCCAGCTGGCGGCGGTCTGTAGATAATCGAGTCTGGACCAGAAAATCCAGTGATTGACATCATGGGCATCGATCCACACAATTGGGATACGATGACATGCATCAACCAAGTCAGCGAGCCTGACCACCCAATCCCGTTAGTCGCCTTTTACGACAAGCATGGTCGCCTTTTACGGTAAGTGTGGTGTTGCTGAAGACCTGTTCTATCCCGTATCTTCACGGGTCTCCCATTACCAGGGCAACGCCATTGTCTCCTCGTTGTCTATTAGTATATACATGTTTTTATTCTTCATCTTTAATCAGAACTTACTCCTCATCGACAGACACGTTGACACTTGTTTATAATCACACACCCTCACGACCCGATCCATGTTAGTCAACTCTTACAAGTATGGGATACTGGGCCTAATCCCCGGAATCCCAACGAAGCAAATGATGAGGAATGTATAGGATCCGAATGATCCGATATTTTAGAACCACACCCATGTCATTGCTGTTTCTTTAAGAAATAAACGACTCGTGGTCGTTGGTTATCGTACAGTAAAACACTGCAGGGAGAATAACAATGAGGGCGCAGGTTTTATATTCCCCATATTTGTTTCCAAATTTGGTACAGCCTTTTTAGGATGTAAATAAATTGTACAAGCTTTAAAAACATTTTCCTGTATTTAAATAATGATGTCTACCTAAATACAATCCGACCTCGACAATGTCGGACAATTCCATTTTATTTACGGGATTAGGGGCGGGGGGGGGGGGGGGGGGGGGGAATGTGTAAGTTTGGTATTCACGTAGGTTATCTGCACCTTATCTCCCAATACTGAGTATCATATCTCTCCCACCTGGTTGCGATCGTTCGGCCATTGCGTTTATCTGCGTTGCCAAGCTACATCTATGGAAAACAACTCACTTTCCCATCAAATATAACGTCGTCCAATGCTTTACTCATCGTTTATTACTAATAAGGACACTGATGTTGAAACCCCGAATACAGAGAGAGTCTGTAATGTTTGTTTGTTGTTTATAATTAACACCGCACTCAGCAATATCCCAGCTATATGTGACAGCGGCCTATAAATAATCGGATGCGGACAAGACAATCCTGTGATTGATATTATAAACAACGGCCCATGCACCCGATCCATTTGGTCACCTCTTATGACCAGCTTAGGCTGTTGGGGACCACTTCTAAAGCTGAAACCCCACAGGAGAGAGTCTGTATTGAACCTTAAAACATTGTGAAAAAACACACTGATCATCCAGGTTCGCTAATCAATATGAATATTAGTGAGTGAGTTAGTTTTAACAGTGCTTTTAACAGTATTCCAGTTATATCACGGCGTGTCAGCTTAATGTGGGAGGAAAGCCCGAAATGATGCATGTCTCAGATGTTTACCACTTCGGTGAAACCCACGAGTACGAGTATGGTGCTGACAAACCTAGAAACATAATCGGGGCAAACCGGGATTGGAACCCACAATCATAGGTTTCTGGCGTGCACAGCGAATCGCGGCGCCTTAGACGACTGGGCCACTCGTGCCCCCATATGAATATTACCCTTGAAGTTATAACATTTATTCTTGTGCTATAAAGCACAAGCTAAGGACATGGGTCACTAGTCGCCATGGCTACGCAATTCGCTGTGCATCCTGCATCATCCGTATGGGAAAGAGGTCAGGTTTCACCATTATTTCAGTTACAGTTTTGCGAGAGGAAAGTCCAAAATGACACAGACCCTAGACCATGGTGCAGACAGACCAATGATCATTTTCGGGACGATTCTAGGACTCGATCCCTGACCAATATACCCTGGTGGCTCAACACGGGTAGTGTATGCCGCGTGGCTCACTGAAAACGACTACAATATTGGTTACATAATCCCAACAAACACCGCTGTCTCACCGTTATAGGAATTTTTGTTATAACTGTAAGCCGCTCCGTTAGCCGCACACTGTATTGGAAGCATAGTCTGTCGTCTGGCAGGAACCTCCTTCGCTTCAAGGTCAACAGTCGTCGTGTTATGTGTGCCGTCTTGTACACCCACCGTGCAACCCACTGTGTCAGCAGCAACAGCAACAGCAACAGCAACAGCAGCGAAGACAACGACCAGCGAGAACGTCCCCAACATGATCCTCCCGTAACGTCTGACGAGGTGGTGTATTGATCATTTAGTGGAGTCCCTGTGGTGTATGTACCGTATCTGTGCAATCTGACAACAATTGTCACCTGCGTATGCCACAGCTTCAATGATATGACGTTATCTAGATGCTGTTTCTGTTCAAAAGGGCGATTGTGTGGCAGTTCCATCGATAGAAACATCACTAAAATAGTTTCGTATTAATATGAAGGACCGTGTTCTGAACTTTCATCCAAACCACAGTCCATACATTTAAATTTAAATTTAAATACATATACTCACCGCCAAAAGAAACGCGAACCATAGAAACATATAGAAAAGTATGTACGTTGAGAAGAGATGATTCCAATGCGTATCACTTCATTGCAAAGAGTGTCTTTATTCTTATCACGATATGTTGCACGTGATTTCCAAACTTTACACGCTTATCCTCCACAAGACAAAATGGTAATCCCAGTTTCAAAACTGATCTTCAGCAACCCATGCTTGTCGAAACAGGTGAATAAAGGGATGATCGGGTGGTCAAACTCGCTGACTTGTGTGATGCATTACATCGTAACCCAATTGCGTAAATCGATGCTCGCGATGTCAATCACTGGATTGTCTGGTCCAAACTCGATTATTTACAACCCGCTGTCATATAGCAGGAATATTGCTGAGTGCGGCGTTAAACAACAAACAAACACATCTGAAAATGTAAACACATTACTAGATGTTTATTTCGTAAGGTCTTTTCTGGCGCCAACTGACATTGATCTCCACTCAGGATAGATGTTCTTGGTAGTCAGGACAAGTTCTCTCGTTTCGCGAACACCTGGCGTCATCAGTGACCAAATTATGTCAGATGCAATTTCCAATTTTGACTTGCACCAGATGTTCTCTTCGGACGAGTGCCACCGGCGGGGCATGATGCACCTTTCGGCGAACACCTGGTTCCACCCCTATTTGACAGTGATTCATGAACACATGTTGTGTTATAGTCGGAAACGTAGAACGGGCTCTACTTTTGGCAGATATTGCGTATGACTATAGAAACGGTCTTTTCGCTTTTATTTACAGTGATCTGTGAGTGTTGGTTCTTGAATTCGTGCTAAAATATGAAATATGTTCCTTTTCTGGTGACACAGCCACTCATGAGGAAACCCCACATATATTGACGCTACAAGACTCAAAGAACATCGGACCTCTGTTAGCAAACTCGACCAGAAATCCGCTATTTCCGAACACATCCTGAAGAACGTAAATCATAACATCATGAAGGGAGCCACCAAAAGTCCTGTCTACCAACAACAACAATCTGGCTTCAATTTGCCCCTTGCAATGTCCATTCTCACACCTATCAGTGCTAATTACCCCCCCCCCCCCCCCCCCCCCCTCAACACACACACACCACCCATTCCCACCCGCACCGCACCCCACCCCACCCCCACCCTATTTGCCAAGTGTCCATTACCAATTACTTAAGTGTTGGCTTCCATTGTCTATTGCTAATCACCTATCAGCGCCAATCATCTGTTTGCTTCCTTGGTTAGCTTGTACCCTTTGTTATTTTCCACCTTTTGTTATCTTATTCATTTTGTTGTCCTTACATGTACATACATATGCTCCCTGCCTCATGGCATTCATTCACCTGATGAAGGAACAAGCATATACTCCGAAACGTTGTGTTCCTCATAATAAAAAAGTTGACATCCGTATATTCTCTTCCTAACGTGTCTTCTTGGTCATAACTTTTTCTAAACAAAGTGTGTTGCAAAAAAGTGAGTGAGTATGGTTTTACGCCGCTTTTAGCAATATTCCAGGAATATCACGGCGGGGGACACCAGAAATGGGTTTTACACATTGTACCCATGTCGGGAATCGAACCCGGGTCCACGGCGTGACGAGCGAACGCTTTAACACTAGGCTACCCGACCGCCCGTGTTGCAACAGACGTACAGTAGGCGTGAACAAAGGTCGGGTTAATTCTTCTCCTGAACCAGTGGTCGTCAGTTGACTGATTGAGACAACCATATATCTACATACGAATCTACTTAAGCGCCATTTCAAGGGACCGTACCAAAAGTTAATTTTGCTTATTCAACGATAACATTAGGTTACATATACACACATTCACGAGGTGAAATAAAAACCACGACCGTGAAGATCCAGATTGGAATGGGTCTTCATGTACAGCAACCCACGCATGCCGTAAAAGGCGATTATGATTTTCGTAAGAGGCGACTAACGGGATCGGTTGGTCAGGCTCGCTGACTTGGTTGACACATACCATCGTATCCCAATTGGGTTGATCAATGCCCATGGTTTCAGTCACTGGATTGTCTGGCCCAGACTCGATTATTTACAGACCGCCGTCAAAAAACTGGAATATCGCTGAGTGTGGCGTTAAACAACAAACAAACAAACAAATAAAAACCAAAAGGACTTATGATACTTGTACATTATTAAATGTGATTAACATCAGCATTTCGAATTATCTTTTAGCGCAATTAACAGAGTACAGTGTACAGTAAACTACGTTTATAACGAACACGCTTATAACGAACTAACGGATATAACGACCTAATTTTTTTATCCTGTTAATTTGCTGTGTATATTCCGTACATTTGCTTATAACGAACTACGGTTATAATGAATTAAAATTAGTGGTCCCTTTGAGTTCGTTATAACCGTAGTTTACTGTATATAAGTATAGGCGGGTTAATAAACTGTCACAGCCAGACAAACAACGCAGTAAATCAACTGTTAATATCCCATTGACCCGAAAAGAAGGTCACGTCGTACATACACAGTATGTATATCTGACAGTAACCAACAGGGCCGAGCTCAATCAGTTTACTCATGTGTCTTAGTATCAATCACGTCACCATCCTTACAAAAATAGTCGGTTATTTCATGCACGAAAGAAGATAATCGATCATATTTATTATTTTGTTTACGTAGTTGTAAAGAACTGTCTTAAGGGAGTTCTGACAGGAAGATGCACCTCGAATTTATACTGCCAGGCGAGGGGCGGTTGGGTAGCCTAGTGGTTAAAGCGTTTGTTCGTCACGCCGAAGACCCGGGTTCGATTCCCGACATGGGTACAATGTGTGAAGCCCATTTCTGGTGTCCCCGCCGTGATATTGCTGGAATATTGCTAAAAGCGGCTTAAAACCTTACTCACTCACTCACTATACTGCCAGGCAATAGAACGTATACCCTCATGTTTGATGATGGTTAAAATGAAACAAACAAGAAATGGTTATTCGATGGTGATGTATTTCACACGGGTATCATAGTTATGTTTTGGACCTTAAGTTTGCGACTGTTTTCAACCGACTTGTTTTGATGACGTCTGTAATTGATTAAGTCCAATTTTTATGTGTGCACTTTCTTTTGCCCGGTAGTGCAGTTTGTCAGATTATGTTTGTTTGTTTGTTTGTTGTTTAACGCCGCACTCAGCAATATTCCAGCTATATGACGGCGGTCTGTAAAATAATCGAGTCTGGACCAGACAATCCAGTGATTGACGTCATGAACATCGATCCACGCAATTGGGATTGATGACATGTATCAACCAAGTCAGCGAGCGTGGCCACCCGATCCCGTTAGTCGCCTTTTACGACAAGCATAGTAACCTTTTACGGCAAGTATGGGTTGCTGAAGACCTATTCTAACACGGAATCTTCACGGGTGTCAGATTCACAGGAACTCGATGATAGCGTGTATAACACAATATATTCCTGTGGTCAGATTATGGAACTTGTATATTTCAGGTCGGTGGTTCGATATTTAAGACGCCGCAGACTTCATGTTTTCCGGGCAGACGCTCAATCCACTGGACCAAGGAGTCGGTACTCTCGACCTAGGCTGGAACTGGGTATCGGAAGGGAGAGCCTGGTCCCTTTAGAATGAAACCTTTGTCAACACCCGCACCTACATCTGTCACCACTCCTTCTACCGACCGCCTCCGTGGTCTAATGGTAGAGCGTCCGCCCGGAGAGCGGAAGGTCCGGGGTTCGATCCCCAGCCGCGTCATACCAAAAGACGTTAAAAGATTGTACTTGTTGTTACCCTGTCTGGCGCTCGGCATTAAGGGGATAAAACAAGGACTGGTCGGCTCGGAGTCAGTATACTGTGTCTGAGGGGTATTCATGTTAAACTGCGGCATGGTATCTCAGTGTGCTAGCACTATAAATCGGCATCAGTCCGGACTAGTACAAGCAGCCACACACACACATACACGTGCATGCACGTCGCTATATAAGTGCAATAATCTTGGACGCGACGTTAAACCCCATATCACCTCACCTCACTCCTTCTACCACATCCACAACGCCCACAGACCCGTGAAAATCCGGGATACAATTGATCTTCAGCAACCTATGCTGGTCGTAAGAGGCGACTAACTGGATGGGTGATCAGTCTCGCTGAGTTGGTTGATGCTTGTCATCGTATCCCAATTGCGTGGATCGATGCTCGTGATGGCAATCACTGGATTGTCTGGTGCAGACTCGACTATTTCCAGACTGTCGTCATATAGCTGTAATACTGCTGAGAGCGACGTTAAAGAACAAACATACACATCGATCATATGACGCTGCCGTGGAAACAAGGTGTAACTAAACATTGGTAACGTCACCGCCATCTTACATGTATCAACAATCTAGCATAAACCAGTCTGTAGCTCCTGAAAGAGCGATTTATGTCTGCTATTGTGTCTGTAGCTGACGTGCGTCGCAGTATCCCTGATGCAGTTGACGGATCAATCAGTCAGCCTGGATTAACGACGACGGTGGTGACATTCGCAGTTTCCAGACACCAGATTGGTAATTAAACTGCCATTTATTAGGAAACATGGCCCCATGTTTATGTCGAACTTTGAAGACGACTATATGTGATATGTTAGGTTTTATATGTTTTACAGATTTTCATAGAAAGGTCATTCGGTGCATATAAGGGAGACAACTCGTGTAAACGTCCGGCATACCGATATGAAGCCTTGGGTA